GATTTTACTTGGAGCTAAGACGATCAGAATTTGGGTAGAAATGCAGACGATAAAAAGCAGGGTTAGGAGATTTCAGTTGGGAACAAGAACTCCATTGGTAGCTGGACTCTAGGATATGTGTGTAATATTCTAGTGGAAATTTTGTCTACATTTAGCTTATGTCTCAAAACTTTACGGAATACTGAGAGTAATGGCAGAAGGCTAGTCTGGACAAGGAAATTTCAAGACAGCCCAAATACAGAGGCTGTGGCATGGGTATTATTGGCAGCTTTTATTATTGGCTAATCTGTATTGAGAATCTGGAGCAAATGGTATAGCTGAGTGATTTTTAAAGTTTTGAGTTTTGCCAGAAAGTAAGCTCCTATCAAGTCAGGCCCTGTAAAGTTGGAGCAGAAAGCTTGGTTGCTGAAAAGATGAAAAAGAAGCCAAGTATTTTGCATCAGGACAATAGGAAGAATGCTTTAAGGGCATGTGAGAAACCAATAAGGCCCTCACCTTCACAAGTTCAAAATTGCAAAAGTGAAAGACACTGCTTTGAGAAGAGACCCCAGGACTCTGTGCTCAAGAGTAGCCACCTAAGGAATCGGTTGCACAGGATTTAGTTCATAGTGCTTAGCCATGCAGGCATTTGAGACTTCTGCAGCCATGATACAAGGAAGCATGGCTACTGCTCAAGCTGGCAACGGACCTTGGTGTCAACCACACGGTGCTGGTTTCACTGGCATACGGAAGACAAGAGTTGTGGGGTCATGGAAGCTTTAACTCAGATTTCAAAAGGCTTGGGAGGGCAGGCAGTGTGCCTTTGAGAAGGTACTGGGTGAAATTGTAAAAGTGCAGTGGAGATCTCAAGAAGAATGAGAAGCTAGGATCATGGTATGTCTGAGGAAAGCTGCAAGGAGTGAGCAAAGCCTGTCCAAGAGAGAAGCCATGAAAGCCACAACTATGGCCGTACTGTGGAAGTGACCCAAGCCCTTTGGAGTTTACATCTCTCCACAGAATATTCTGGTACTGGACATGGAGCTATGGGATTTAATATTTTCTCAGAAGGTTTTTGTCTTGCTTTGGCCCTTCCTATTTCTCCCTGTATATGTTTATCTTTCTTTTTTATTTTTATAGGGTCTCACAGCTAAGAGTTTGCCTTAAGTCTCAGAGGAGACTTTGGACTTGGACCTTTAGCAATGCTGACATTGTTAGGACTTTGGAAACTCTTAGAGATAAACTAACTGTATTTTGCATAAAGAGATGTGTGTGAGTCTTTTGGGGCTCAGGGGCAGAATGTTATGGTTTAGATCTAAAATGGCCTACAAAGCCTCATGTGTTTGGAAGGTGATTGGATTATGAGGGTGGTATAGCTGGATTGGTGTTGGGAGGCAGGGTATGGTTGGAAATGTCAGGTCATTGGGGGCATAGTCTGGAAGGGCTTATCTCCCTTCCTAGCTCCTCCTTTGACTGTCTGTGCTTCCTGGCTACCATAGTTGTACAGGTTTTCCTCCATTACGTCAGTGTGCTATGCCATTATACCGTGGAGCCAGCCAACTATAGATTGAAACATGAGCCAAAATAAACTCTCCTCCTTTCTCCTTTAGGTTTTGATGTCAGATATCTTGTCCCAGTGATGAGAAAAATGACTAAGCTATTCTGTGTAAATGCGCTTTGCCAAAGTGTTCAAGTCTTTTGCTCACTTAAAAAGGCTGAGTTGTATGTTTTCTTTCTGTTGAGTTTTGAGAGGTCTTCATACATTCTGAATGCAAGTCTTTTACCAGATATATGGTTTGCAAATATTTTTGTCTAGCATGTATTCATCTTGTACTTGTACACAATCTTTTGCAGGCCAAAAGTTATTAATTTTGAGGAAATGAAATTTCTTAATTTTTTTCTTTTGTGAACTATGTTTTTAGTGTCACATCTAGGAACTATTTGCATAACCATAGATCATGAAGATATTCCCATGTTTTCTTCTACAAGTTTTATAGATACATATTTTATATTTAGATCAATTATGCTTTCTGTGCTAGTAGTAGTTAAATTTTTATATAGAGTGATTAATGATATTTCCTTAGTATCCTTTGTTTGTTTGTTTTGCAGTACCAGGAATTGAACTCAGAGCCTTGCACTTGCAAGACAGGTGGCAATGCCACTGAGCTAAATCCCTGGCCCTCCTTAGAATCCTTTTAATGTCTATAGGACTTGTGATATCCCCTATTTTACTCTGTTTGTGGTGATATGTGTTGACCCTCTTTGCTTTGTCACTAATGCTGGAAATTTAAAAAAAAATTTTTTTGGTACCGGAGCTCGAACTCGGGACCTTGCTCTTGCAAGGCAGGTGGCAGAACCACTGAGCTAAATCGCTGGCCTTCGGCTTTGATTTTTTAATCACACTGATTTCTAGCTTTGTTGATTTCTCTTATTTTTTCCAATTTCTATTTGTTTTGCATGGTTTCACTGAGATAGGATCTTGCTGTGTTCCCTAGGCTGGTCTCAAACTCTGGAGCTCAAGCAGTCTTTTTGCCTGTGCCTCCCAAGGCTGGAACTAGAGTCAGGTATAACCACAACTGGCTCCATTCTCTATTTAGTAGAGAATTCTCCTCTTTAGTATTTGCTTTGGGCTCATTTTGCTCCCATTTTTATATTTTCAGACATTAAATTTATTTTGGGTATTGGGGATCAAACTCCGGATGTTGAGCTTTCCAGGCAGGCAGTGGAACCACTGGGCTAAATCCCTGGCCCAGAGATGAAATTTGAGATAATTGATTTGAGAGTTTTCTTCTTCTTTTACACCAGCATTTAATATAGTGGATCCTTGACTTATGACCTCAGTTTGTTCACAAGGGCTGGTTGTGACTCAAGCTGGTTGTAACTCAAAACTATTTTCCCATAAGAAATACTAGAAATACACACAGTGCATTCTGAACCTCCCAAAACACCCCTTAAAAAGGGTTGAATAATTGTGTGTAATTTACCAGAAACATCAATAAGTTTCCTAGTGTATTCACCAAAAAGTTATGACATGTGCCTAGCTTACCAGAAATAACAATTTCATACTCTAGTCACCATTCTAGTTGACATCTTTGGCTTGCAGGAAGGGAGGCTGAAATGGTGGTTATTGTTTGGAAGGAGAGTCCACTGCCATAAGAACAGGAATCTGGCTCTCAGGTGTCCTTTCTCTCCTTGGGAGAGTTTGTAGCCTACTCCGACCTGCTTCTGACCACTAGGTCTCAACCACTTCAGAACTAAAAACTCATCTAAGGTTGCCTGTTTCTATCTTTTCTTGAACACTGTTCTGTAGTATGACATGACATTGTCACTAAGCAAGTGAGTGCAACGATCAGCTCTTTTTCTGTCTAGGCAGATCTTTTCTACAGATGTTTGTAGCTCTGTCTCTTTTTTAAGGTTTTACTTTATTTCAGAAGAATTTTGCTGCACTAATTGTTAATATACCTCTTCCTCTTCAGAAAAGTCCTCAGCTGCCACTTTCTGCTGCTCAACCAGAAGTTGCTGAGGTTCCTCTGTAGGCATTCCTCTGAATGTTCCTCATCATCACCACTGTCCACCTGCAATGCAATGGACTCCACTATGATGACAATGTCATCAAACACAGGGTCAGTTGAAGGCTCAGGCTTCTCTACACAGCTTTCAAAGTCTCTCCTATATAATTTTAGGTCACTCTTTGTTCCAGGCAGATCTCAGTGTCCTTAGAAAGACATTAGACCAGGATTTCTCATTTAACCCCACACAGGAAAGATCAGCATTTGGGTCATAACTCAAGATTTTGGTTTTAAGTTATAACTAAAATTCTAGTCATAGCCCAAGTTGTTTGTATATGAGGCTATTTGTAACTCAAGAGTTCACTGTACTATAAATTTCCTTCTAAGCACTTCTTTAGTTTTATCCCTGAAATTTGCCAGACAGAATTTTCATTTTTGTTGTATTCAAATTTTTTTCTAATTTTCTTGAGACTTCTTTAATCCATGAATTATTTAGGAGTATATTGTTTAACTTTCAAGTGTTTGAAAAACTTCCCCATTATCTTTCTGTTTGTTGATTTCTAGGTTGATTTCATTACAGTTAGACTATATACTCTGTATGGATTCGATTTTAAATTTGTCCAGATTTATTTTATGACCCTAGATGTGATCTGTTTTGGTGAATGTTCAACAAGTGTTGAAAAGAATGTGATTGTGTGGTTGTTGAGTGTATTATAAACAATTAGATCCAGTTACGAATGATGTGGCTTTATTCTTCAGAGTCCTTGTTAATTTCTACATGCTTATTCTGTGTATTGCTGAGAGGGGAGTCCTGAAGTGTCTTCTACTATAATTATGAATTTTATGATTTTTCCTTTCAGTTCTATGCATCTTTGCTTCATATATTTTGAAGTTCTGCTGTTAGAGGCACATATATTTAGGATTGTTGTATCTTAGCAAATCAAATTTTTAATCACTATGTAATGACTGTTCATCCCTGATTTTTTCTTTGTTTTGAAGTCTACTTTGGGTTATATGAATATATTCTCTCTCTCTCCCTCCCCCTCTTCAAAAAAATTATTGTTTTTGGTACCAGGAATTGAACTCTGGTCTTTATAAGGAGCTACATCCCTGGCCCACTTTTTCTGTGAGATAGGCTCTTACTAAGTTGCCTAGCCTGGGCTTGAACTTGTGATTCCATGATTTCTAAAATGATTATATTTTGGTGTTTTGTTGTCTGCTTTCTAGTATTATCAAACAGTCAAAATGAAAATACACACATTCACTTTCTTAAATCTGATGAGTAAGGAGCAGGGCTCTGAGTCCCATCCCCTTCATAATTTGTACCCAGACTTTGGACCTGCAGCCTCAGACCAGTTTCAAAGGGGGTCTGGTTTCAGAGCCAGTAACTCCAGCTCCAGGTAGGAGTGTGGAGGAATGGCGGGGGAGCTGTGCACTTTAGGTCTGCTGTTGGCTCATGATCCACTGTTTCCCTAGCCAACAAATTCCCTGGAATAATGAAGCAAGAACCTGAGACCAATCATATAAATATTTATTGCCAAATTACTGCATGAGAGGGGACATGAAGGATGGTGAAAGTGAGCAAGAGATAAGCAAGAGCCACTATGACGGCCGAATGGTGCAGGGCAGTGGCTGTGGCCCTTAGGAAGAACAGCTGTGGTCACAGGGGGGTATCTTGTCCTAATCTGGTTCAAGGAAGCAGACGCAGGGGCATCCAGAGCAGAAGGAGCATCGGTTATCAGTGCTTAGCAGAGGCAAGGCTAGAACTCGTTTGCTCCCAGCAGCTTCTTCTGATCTCTTTTCTAAGAGGGCAGGGCAAGACAACCCTGAATGGGAGAGAAGGGCAGACTCTCTCCTCCAGAGCAGCTTAGTAGCCAGATGCAACACAAGCTACATGACATCCGACGCAAAGATCCCTAAAGCCTAGTAGAGGTGTGGGTTCCCCTGGTTTTCTGAAGTCTTTGGCTGGGGCTTCTTGGTTGGGAACTGAGACTCTCTGGGCTGGGGTAGAAATATAGGCAAAGAGGCTACTTGGAACTCCTGGAAGGGCCCCTTTTTCTTCCTGAAGTATCTATTCTCCATTCCTTTCTCCTCTCAACAACCTTGCTGCCCCAAACGCACAAAAACTCACCTCTTTAATGGAAAAGTATTTCCAGCAGTACAGACACAGAGGGGCTACAGATGCCAGAAGCAGCAGGACCCAGACACCCAAGAGCATGGACTGAAGGTTTATATTCAGGTTCTAGAGACAAAGAGGCAAAGTCATGGGCACCACAGCAGTGGTCACCTTCATGCTCTTCCCCATGCTTTTCACTGGTATGGGACTTTGTCTGCCCTTCATCTTCAAGGTGGTGACTTCTAGAGGGGGATCACTGCATCCAGTATGCAGAATGCAGCACCCTGTGCTCATCTGCAGAGATGGGTTTGGCTGTGCCATGATTCCTTAATGGCTTCCTAGACTGGAGAGGATCAAAGCAGGGCATGCCTTGGTGCCACTTTGCACACTTGCAATCTTGGCTCCTTCACAGTATTTCAACATTTGTCTTTCCCACTGGTCTCTAACACCTCAGCTGCCAGAGCTGTTTCTACCATGCTCAGGCTGCATCTTTAGTGACAGTTTAGTGACAGTCACCAGGCTGGGTGAGCTCTTGGGGCACCTGTTTTGATGGAGAGCTTTCCTCTTATCTGTCCTGGCTTCTCTCTCACCGTCTGCCCCACCTTTTCCCCTGCCCACTGACCTTCAGCATGTTCACCTGGGAGATGCACAGGTTTTGTCTCTCAGGTTCAGGACTCAGGGTGCTGGGGGGCGTGATGTGCCAGTTGCTCGAGGAGTCCTCACAGAGGTAGTCACTGTCCATATCCCCTCTGTAGAGGTACTCATGGAAGTTATCAGCCCCAATTACGATGGCGGCAATGGCCGTGCAGAAAGCGGCCAGTGTGAGAAGGGTCCTCAGCAGGGCCTGGAGGGGAGGAAGCCCAGGGAAACCCTAGTGACTCAATCTGTTTCAGAGCCAGGACTTGGGCAAAGAGGGAAATGCCTGGTGGAACCTGTGTGTGACCCCTAGGCCTGAGCCTGGTTTCTGCCTCTCGCCTGCTCAGAACTCACCCAGCAGATCCCACCCTGTTTCTCATAAACAAAGGCAGCAGCTCCAGCCAGCAGAGCCTGGAGAGAGACAGAGACAGGGGCAGGGTTAGCACAGGAACCTCAAGGTGCCTCAAGTCCCCTCTAATCACTTGCCTCTGTCCCCTGTGACATCTACCAGCCACGCGGTGACCCTCCTAGCACACTCCGGGTGTGTCCTGGGCTTTGTGTAAGCTTTGTTGTTTGTGGTAGAATAACTGTGGGGAGTCCTGAGCCTGGGTAAAACTCCTGAGGCTGCAGGATGCTGTTTTAGTGGCATCTAAAAGTGCTTATGGTTGAGCTGGGTATGAGCCCTCTCTCACTTCTTCAAAACCATCTAAGGCAACATCGGGTGCTTCGTGAAAGTTGAGGATTTGGGGAGGTTGGGGTGGATCTTGTGGAAATCTCAGGTTGCTGGAGAAGCTCTCAATGCAAGATGTCTTTGGGCGGCCTCCAGTCCAGGTGTCCCAACAGCTCTACAGCCCTCTAGCTGGGCTCGAAGAACAGGAAGTCTGGGATACCCCACTGACGAGGTGAATTAAGATCCTGTTTGGCTGATCTGTATCTAATCTGTTTGTCTCTGTCAGTGGATGGACAAGGAGGGTTCCTTTTGTCTCTCTCTCTCTCTTTTTTTTTTTTTTTTTTTTTTTTTGTGT